TGTTTATCTCTCCCCCCCTCTCTCTCTCTTTCTCTCTCTCTCTCTCTCTTTCTCTCTCTCTCTCTCTCTCTCTCTCTCTCTCTCTCTCTCTCTCTCTCTGGGCGTCTTGTGGCCATAGTTGGAACACAGACAGCTGTAGAGAGGCCAACTACACTGCACGCTCACTGGAGGTGCTGAATGCTGTGACGCAACTCGGCAGGTGAGATTTTGTTGTGTTGAAGTCTCTCTCTGTGTCCCTGTTTCTGCATCTCTCTCGGTCTCATTCAAACGAGAAGGGTCACCTTTGTCTTCCATCTTTTTGTTCTTTTGAAAGAAAAAAAATTGTCTTAAAAGAGGAATCGACGTGATTTGTAACTGTTAAATCTCAACAGAACAAACACAAACATACACACACAGCACTTTAAACATAATATGCAGTCTATGAGCAGGATTAGGCTGTGTAGTCGCGGAAAGTAGAACGCACCTCACAAAGGTCCAATGAGAGCGTAGGTATCGTCTGTGTCAGTGGGGGAAAGTGTGTCGTAAACTCTCAACACATTGTCAGGGCTAGAAGAGCGTGAGCCCTCGTTACAGTGTTATTTTATCCAGTCTTCTACCTTTTTACAAGAAGAGTTTCATTAACGAAGGGGTGTGAGAATGGGTTCATCCTTTGCTGAGCGCTAAAGACTTTTGATTGGCTGCTGGGTTACTATAGTTGTAAGTGGTGACAACAGAGATTGGATAAACGAGCAAGCCGCCAAGTTGATCACTGTGTTCGTGTTCATTGCGTGCGGTCATAACGGTTTCAACTGCTTATTTCGTTATTGAAGAAACTTTCATGAGCCCTTCACTACCCACCGCCACTGGGCGGTTTTATTCCGCCACCGACACAATTGAGACTATTTGATTGGCGCTTCCACCAACCCTGCCTGGCAGGATCAACTCGGGCTTAAAGGGATGAATATCCCAACAAAAAGACAGAGATGCTCGATAATAATAGTGTATTCTCCCCAGTCGGAATTCGAACTTGAGTCTCCTGGGTGCGACAACGAAACGCCTTTTCGCTACACTACAGACGTCGGTGCGTGTACATTTTATCTGAGAAAAGTGGAGACCCAAAAAAATCGTAATATCTACCAAAATGTTAAAAGTGCTTTAAATTCTGCGTAGTGTACTTTCTATATTGCAGCATCACCACACAATATTGCAATTACGGTTGTGCTTAATGTGTTCCGAGCACTAATATGACCTTTGCAGTTGAGAGCGCCGTAAAAACACTTACCGGATAAAAATAGGGCTGTGGATAACATAATTATTATTATAGACCGCACAAAAAGTGTTTGACTTAATGTAGAGTCTGTGTCTGTGGTGTAGTGGTTGTAGGCGCTCCACCGTCGCAGACAGAGGACGTGTCTTTGATATTTTTGTGGGGAGATGAACAATTACATTTTTAACAAGTATCTTGTCTGTCTGTTGGGATGTTGGCGTCGGTGGCCTAGTGGTAAGGCTCTCGGACTCGCAACCATAAGGGCGTGGGTTCGAATCCCGTCAGGGGCCCGACGTTGTGTCCTTGGGAAAGGCACTTTGCACAAATTTTCCTCACTTCACCCAGGTGGAAATGGGTACCCGGCTATAGACAGTGAACGATCTTGTCAGTTTGATAGTGTTTGAGCGTGTGAAATCCGCAGCTTGCACTGTATGCTTCCGCGGAAGCTGAGAATGTTTCTGAGTGTTCTCAGAGGGTCTGCTGGGGTAATAATACTTGTAAAACGTATAGAGCATGCTCTTGAGCATGGATGTGAGCTGTATAAATGCAATTATTATTATTAGTAGTAGTAGTAGTAGTAGTAGTATTATGTTGTATCCCTCTCAGCCTGGGTCTGTCTGCTGGGGTGTTGTATCCCTCCCTCTCAGCCCGGGTCTGTCTGCTGGGATGTTGTATCCCTCTCAACCCGGGTCTGTCTGCTGGGATGTTGTATCCCTCTCAGCCCGGGTCTGTCTGCTGGGATGTTGTATCCCTCTCAGCCCGGGTCTGTCTGCTGTGATGTTGTATCCCTCTCAGCCCGGGTCTGTCTGCTGGGATGTTGTATCCCTCTCAGCCCAGGTCTGTCTGCTGGGATGTTGTATCCCTCTCAGCCCGGGTCTATCTGCTGGGATGTTGTATCTCTCTCTCTCTCTCTCTCTC